GCCAAGCCTGTCGTGCCAACGGGGACGTGTGGGACAGGGAGCTGCCACATAACCCTGCTGTGCACAACTGTCACTAGTCAGATACACAAACAAGTGATGATTGTTAACCCAAATATTCTGGAAAAGAGGCTTCTACTTTTGAATTGCTGATTATTATTTTTTTTTCTGAGTCAAACACCAAACTTTGCTCTTCCAGTGCCATTCTCTCCCTTTCTTCTTCTCCATCATTACTCCTCTTTTCTTCACAGGCAGAAAAGGACTAGAGAAAAATCAGTGTGCCACTGCCTGGCCAGCTCTACAGACAGTAAAGCGTGAAATGGTTGGAGGTGCCAGCAGTAGAAACCCGAGCTGAAGTAAATAGTTTGAGAGGAAGCTGCATGGTGCAGGGACACAAAGATGTCCCCACCACTGTGCAGAGGCAGGGTGGAAGGAATAAATGATAGCCCAGAGCCAGAGAAGGATGAGGCCACACAGGTCCCATCTGTTCCTCCAGGTATACCTGTGCTTGCAAAGAGGAAGGCATGAAATTTGAATTAAGGCTTTTAGCAGATGCTGGCCCCCTGCTCGCTGTGAAATACACCTCCTGCTTTTCTCAGCCGGCACAGGCAGGGCTGTGCTGGGTAAACATGCAGCTCCGGAGGCGCCAGGCAAGAAATCTCGACAGTCGACCTACGGATCTCGTCCCTGCTCAACCGCAACGGTGATTCATTAACATCAGTGACATCATCTCCAAAACTTCCACTTAGCAGAAGGCGATTCCCATCCAACACAAACGCTTTCTGTTGTATTAGACTTATGGATAATACAGCATGTTCTAGCTTTTATCTATGCAATTACTCATTTCCCCTCAGGGCCGGTCTGCCACTCCCATCTCTCCCCTCCTCCAATGCATTTCCCTTCAAAAGCAGTGTTTAAAACTAAATGTCATTTTTTAAAACATTAGAAACAAATGGAACAGTCATTCTGGCTCAAATTCAGGGGTGCAGACACACTCTTCCACGGATGCAGCGAGCCCAGTGTCATGGTTTCCACTTACATGTATTTTTAAGATGTGGGACCTGCAAGCACATGTACAGTGAATAGCCAGACAGAGGCAGCAGCATGGGACAAGTGAACTCATTTTAATGAAATATGGGATGATCTGAAAGTTCAGGGAAATGCAGGCAGGATCCACACGCAGCATGTTTGCTTCGGCCAGATGGGTGTAGAGGCAGGAGGTCCCGGCCCTGCTCGCAGTCGTCCCCTTGCAGACACCACGAAACGCCCAGCCGTACTCAGCTCTTTGAGCGCCCGTGATGCCCTGTCCCCACCCGCCCACACTCGCCAGCTGGGCTGTGGCTGGCAGAGTCCAGGCACAAAACCAAGCCCCTGAGAGCCTGGTTGGAGCCTAAGTGGCAGAAATGGGACCTGAAACATTCACCCCATGTTTTGTAGACCCAGAAGGGAGATGCAATGAGAGTCAAACCTTGGCCATACCTCTGTAATGAAACAACCCGCAGACCTCTCACCTGGCTGACTACCACCCAGCACTTCCAAGGAAACAAATTTAATGGGTTTTTTTTTTTTTCCAGGGCAGCAGCTGTAGATCAAGATTAACATGCATATACATATGTGTGGAGAAAGATGGTCACTAAGCCAGGGAATTTATAAACCTGCTGAGCAGTGTTAATCTACCCGGCTGGAGGACGTGGCTCCAGCCACATAACCCATCTCTTTAATGTTTGAAAAGCACTGGTTCAGTTCCCAGAACGCAAAAAGATGGCACTCAATGAGGAAAGAAAGATGAACGTTTCAGATGGAAGAGCAGCTGTTTATTTAGTCTCTGCTGTCCAGAGTTAGCCACAACCTCTCAGAGAGCTCATCCATCACAGCGGCTTTACTGCACCTTGTGCCTGGTCTGTGCTGCTAATGAATTATGGACAAACGTGTATAAGCTACAATATTTACATGTTTCATTGATTGAATATATACAAGGAAGAAGTGGGAGTGGTTGTGTTCACATAGCACATATTTCCTGGTCGTCCTGCTGTAAAAAAAATAAAACCATAGTCTTCCCACTGGAATTGATGCTCAGTAACGGAGACTATAAGCAGTTTCCAGTGAGCAGCTGTGTCAGAGCTGAGCGCGGCACACAAGTGCTACAACATCTGGATTTGGCCTGGACATTTGAGTAGCACAATAAAGAAAAAAACAGCCCCTTCCTCTAACTGCTTCTGACTGTTCAGAGGGAAAAATCACCTGCAAAAGGGACTTGCAGACGGCACAAATCTACCAGCACACATGGTGCTTTCCCTTCCCAAATAGGAAAGGGCAAGCTAGTGTTCAGGATCCAGCAGCAGGAAAGCGTCCCTGACCTCCTCCTGCAGCTCTGCCTTCCGACCAGCCAGGCTGCTGTTGTCTTTAAATAACATCTTGCTGGTTATCTTCAGCATCAGGCACCGAAGCAGCAGCTGGACTCTGTGGCTGTCTCCTCTCTTGCTTGTGGTATCTGTGATGGGACAGTGAACCCACGGAAACAGCTGCTCTTATCAGACAGATGCAGAGCACTTGCAGGGTCCTCCTGAGCTCACATCAACTGCAGCCACATGTTAACACATGAATCCTGTCTGGGCTCTTCCTCTGCAATGTGCCAGGTCCTCACTGATGCTTATCTCACTGCTCACAGGGTTTGCCAGGAGAAAGGTTTGTGCCTGATCCTGCCAGTGTTCACCTTTAACCAGGAGAACTTTTCTTCCCTCTGCTGAATTCAGCCCATTTGGTCTTGGGGCAAAGAGAGACAGTTGTGAAAAGTGCAAAGGACCCTTGAGGAGGCTGCATCTGCCCACACACTGCAGGCCCTTGCACACACACACTCACACGGGGACCAGACACGCTGCCAACTTAACACGGCTGGATGTGCAGCCTCCGTAACTTGGCACTTCAGAGAAGCTTTCCAAAGCTGGATAAACATTATCATTTATGGCCAGGAAGTCAGTTCACGAACATGCTCCATCACGTCCTAAAGTCTTTGCCAAGATTTCAAGCTCACCTCACCTCTATCAAAGTGCTCATCCTGCCTTTTTGGGCAACAGGCACAAAAAACACAGGCATGTGCAGAAGAGAGAAGCTAAAATGAGAAGCAGAGACCTCCCAGACAGGCTGAGACATAACTGGGATTTTTAATAGGGCCAGGCCAATTCATATTCCTTGTCTCCCTCTATTTGCACTTCCTTGCCCTGCTGTTGCACATCACCATCTGAAGAGGCAGGACATGTGCAGAGGAACACACGGCACCTTCTACTCAGACAGATTGCACAGATTTCCAAAGGAATGACATGTTCCTGACATCTGGGGCCCATGACACGAAGGAATAGTGTGTCCAAGCCCCAAGCTGCCTCTGCGATGCCTCATCACGCAGTGTTATGGCAGGTATCATTGTGCTGGCTCTGTGTTACATCAGGGCAGGAGAAATGGGACAACTGCCCAGCAGTGCAAAGGCTGGACACAGCTGTTGCTGGAGCCTTGGAGAATGGCAGCGTTTTACTGATGACGCATTTTCTCAATTGAAAGTATCACATTTCTGCTGACTTCTCTGTGCTCCTTGGCTTGCTAAGAGGGTACAGCAATGCCATGAGAAGTTCTTCTGGTTATCCAGCATCTTTGTCCTGACGCATCCCAAAAGGCTTTACAGATGTTAAGTGCTGACTGTACGAAGCACCCAAGTAGGAAATGTTTTCTCCTCCCAGCAAGCACAATCTGCTCTGGGTGAAATGCAACAGCTGCTTGTGAACATGTGCTGCAACATTAGAGCACAGTTTGGGGCCAAGAGAGAAGATGCCAAATACATCCAAATGAGAGTGGAGAAGGGGAATTCTGGTAGACAGAGACAGTTGTCAGAAGTGGCACTGAACAAGGATCCCAACACATCTCTCCTCCCTGAATTTTCCCTCCCTTCCTGGAGAGACCCAAGTCATTAATATATCCAAGAAACGTCACAGCGTTTCTATGTTAAAGAACCACTTTGCACCATGAAGCCCTTTTCCCCCTGTACATGAGTGTCCTGTGCATCAAGCAACACCAAAGCCTAAAACAAAAACACGGAACTGTGCATTCAAATATTTATGAACTTCCCTTTGTCAGAGAGTTTGGCACACTAAGGCAGACTTGCTTACCAGTACATCTTTGTTTTAATACTTAGCAGCTTTAACCTTGGCTGAGACTCACTGGAATTTTATTTTAGAAGATCCAAAAGCTCTACATGATCCTGATGAGAAAGAAATATAAGCTTCCCTCGTCCAGCTGAATCTACCCGTCCCTTTCATAAAGGCAACATTCAGACTGCAAACAGATGGCTAAGAAGCAACACTTTCATGGTCTGAAGCAGCTCTTTGGCATTTCAAGTTGCCAAGGCGGATGGGAAGGGTCCCATGAGCCAAAGTGTAACTGCTTTGCAAGCTCTTCTTCTGCAAAGAGTAGCTGTTTAGCTATGTACATAACCAACATACAGTTCTTATAAGCAGAAATGGGCAGTAGAGTCTCCGGTTTCTTGGGAGACCATCTGTTTATGAGGACTGTCCCAATTCTTAAGAAGCCATGTGGGAAGCAAGAGACTTCTCTGAAAAAGTTCAGAAACCAGCCCTGGGCTTTGAAGAGAAACCTCCATGTTCAACAACAGTGTCGGCTTTGCACACCTACCCTTCCCATTCCAGCGCCCCGCTCCCATGGGGATGGCAAAGCTGTGGGCAGGGAAATCAGACCAGGGAGCTGATCTGGATGAAAAATAGCCTGACAAAACGTTTAATTTTTGCTACTTTGGCTGCACCAGTTTCTGTCCTGAGCCACAAACAACAGTGCAGGCTCAATTACGAGCTCAGGACAGAACACAACTCACACGGTATCTTTCATTCTTAGCACAATTCAAACGTTTTTGCACAGAACTGAGACATTGAAAAATGTACCTGTAAGGGTCACTAGGGTCTTTGGCATCACAGACATCTGCATGGCCGTGGCAGACACAGCGCCCTCCAATGCTGATATCTTTGATGCTGTAGTAATACTGGAGAGCACAAGAAAAGCTGGCATTAATATCTTTCCGAATAAGCTTTATAACTGCCCTACTCAGGATTCAGCTGGAGTTCATCCAGTAAAATGATGTGTTGAAATATTTTCCTTAGAGTGACAAGCTGGACCTTGTAGGCTGCAACATCTGCCTATGGTAAGACCCACTGCCAATAGAGCCCATCAGCAACAAGTTGGGTTCTCCCAGCACAGCCAGAAAGTCACATGTGACATCAAAAGGATGTTTTCCAGTTTCACACTGTTGGTGCTAAGCACAGTTCTTCCCCAGCAGCCCCCAGCTCCAGCTGCGGCAGCAGTGGTATCCACTGCAGATGCCTTCAGCTCGGGGAGCACAAGTACAGAGAGAGAAGGTCCCCATGGGCAACATCCAGGGATGTCTTTTCCCCAGAGGTGGCATGCACAACTCTCAAACACCTGCACCTCATTAGCAAGCGGTATCAAGGCCTGCCTTACCCTCCTTGTCACTGTAGGGTCCCTTAAAGCTTTGCCCATGAGGTGCCCAAGCAGAGTGTTTGTCTGCAGGAAGCGCAGTCTGATGTTGGTGGCTTTTGTGAAATTTCGCAGGAGAGGAGAGTAGGAGAAATTCATGGCTCCTGGGCGCCCATTTACCAGAGAGACAACAATCTGTGAATGCAAGGAGGGAAAACAAATCTGCGTGATCCTCTGAGACAGGAGGAAATTAATCCCTCCCTCAGCCAAATCCAATCTTTACCTCCCTTCAAGACAACTAATCAGTTCCCTGCCAGCCTCATTCGATTTAACTGAGTAGCTTAAGTGGCATTCCGAAGTCAAGAGGGAACCAATTAATAAGAGTACCCACGGTCACTGAGAAACTCTGGAAGATCCAGGGGACGAAAACGTGCAACTGCTCACCTCCCCATTTTCTAAAGGCACAATCCGGGAGTATTCAGTAGTGCAGATGGCATGGTCATCCTTGGTGATACGATCCACAGTTTGCAGTCCAAACTTCTCAATGCAGTCCCTCTTGGAAGCTGTTCATCAACCAGAGACGAGAGCAGTAAGAGAAAAAGGAACAATTCAGAGCCCTGTATTGATTTTCCCACACTAACCAACAGGAGAGATTTGTTACGCATTTACTACGTACAGATTGCTGTGTATCATTAACTCTGCCATTGCTAACACACACGTACTCCACTAAGGAAGGGAGTCACTATCAGAGTAACAGGCACGGTCAGAAAATCCCCCAAATCACCTCACTGCAGTAAATGAGAAGAGTAAGAATGGCCATTGCACCTACTGAGACCACCTGCAGAGAAACCCACCCCTTAATTTTGGCACTAAGCTCACAGTTTGACCAGCTCGAGCTCTAACTCTGGTCTGAATTTGTTGCCTTGCTGGCACTGGATTTACTACACTGCTCCCGCTCAACTGAGGAAGGGCTGTTTGCTGCTAGAGCTCTGCTCCTGATGTAGGAGCTTGTACCATCACATTCATGTGCATCCTTAACTTCTTGCATAAGTCCCAAAGAGCCAGCCAGCACAAAGCCACACAACAGGAGCAACCACAAGCCACAGCCACCACTGCGACATCTCCCACCAGGCAGGGGAGGAGACCTGCAATGTTTGGGAGAGGCAGAGTGACTGCCTGCAGGATATCTCCTTCTCCCACCTTACTCTGAAGTCTGCAACCGTTGTTAAACCAACGCTACAAGACAGAAGTGCCAAAGCTGCCCAGAACGACCCCTTGAGTCAGCCATCGAGGGCTCCTGCCACTAAGGGGCAATGCAAGGCTGGCTAAAGCCAGGGGACACAGGCACCACCAGGCAGTCACACTGCTGGCCCTACAACCTACTTTGGGGACACTGCATGCCAGGACTTTCCTTGCAGCTGTAGGAATGTCCTGGCTTCCTTGCACAGCTGTTCCTGCAAGTCCAGCACCCTCATCCCCAGGATGTCCGATATCCCTGTGCCAGCAGAGCCAACTATACCACACAGTGAACATGCTGGGGCAGTTCAGGATCTGATTGAGCAGAGTGGTGAGCAGTCACACCTACTCATGCAAAAATCTAAGCAATGCCACTCTCAGGCCACTCTCTGAGGTTGTTCTCCCGGGGAAGAGCCTGGGACAAAGGCTGCTGCTCCCTCTCACTCCCGTGTCACCTGCGCCAGGAGCTCTCGGCAGTGCGTTCCGAAGCACACGTTGCTGCAGTGCTCCTGAGGGTGCTGCCACGGGAAGAAGGAGGAAGAAAAGGCAGCCAACACAACCTGCTGCTTCTGCCAGTGCTGCTCAGCTCACACAGGGAGCTGATGGGGAAACGTTAACATAATTGACGGGAATAATCCTCCAAAATCTGTTGCAATGCACCTCCAGAAGGCACACCTCTCGCTCCATGTGCTGCACTGGTAAGCAAAGCCAGGCAGAAGGAACAGGAAGAGGGGAGTACAAAGAACTTCTGCCACCCCTGCCTTCACCTCTGGCTTGCACCCGCCCACACCTCAACTACAGCAACGTGGCCTCGCTCCACGAAACACTGTTTTGGCAGCAGTAGGAGCTCAGTTGCATCCACAGGAAGATGGTGTGGAAACATTTAACATCAGGTCTCTGGCTGCTGAGCTTTGCTTCACCAGGTGCTTTTTTAAAGGCAATTTATTGTGAAGCCCCAGTGAGGAGCCTGTCACCACTGGCTCAAGATGATTGATTTCCAGAGCACTGCCACGGCCGGGCATGGAGACAGGATGCTCAGCAAGAGCAGCTACTCAGGAAAACCAAAGAACTCCTCCAGTTATTGCACATCTACACAGCCGTGTGAGCCAGAAGCCGGACACTCTGAGCTAAAACAGTGACCCATCAGCCTTAAACCACAGCAATGTTTTACGGAAACAGCAGACTGTGGAGCCTACCCTCAGCAGAGAAAAGGGCAGAGCCTTGCTCTGCGCCGTGGCTGCCTTCCCCTCCACAGTGGCACTGCCCAGCAAAGCAAGACAAAACGGACTAATCCTGCACCACAGGCTGAGCTGGGGCAGGCAGGGCTCTGTGGGTCTGCACGGAGAGCTGGGACTGGGCATCTTTCACGTCCTGTCCCCATTTGAAACGCTGTGTGGGGAACCCTTCACGTGGATAAACACCATCAAAAATCTCTGCCCAGTGCTCCTGCTTCTCCTTTGGTGGCCGAGGCAAGCACAGTGCCTCCCCACCGCAACGCACGGAGAATTCACATTGCCACGGTCCCTCCAGGCCCCCTCCCCGAGAGAGACCATCAGCTGCACCGACAGATGCTTTCCACGACAGTCATTTTTTCCCTCCTCCCGCAGAGCTAAGCCCAAAAGCACTTCAGCAGCCTGGCTGGGGGGCACAGGGCAGCCTGGGGAACCGAACAGATCCCACGACAAGTGGGGCTCAAGGGGCAGTGCCGAGCCAGCGGGGATGGTGTCACCCATGGCAAGGCTTGCTGGAGTCTCTGGAGAACACTTAACTTTTCTGTCAGCTGCTTTTAACCCTCTTACTGAACTGACCAGTGTTTTTATTAGACCACCTACAGAATTCCCCATGCCAAAAATAAATCTCCGCAAAGGACTTCTTGTGCTAGCAAATCTGGCAGGTTTTGGAGCAGCCACCTCTTTATTTCCGTGGGAATTTTCCACTGGGCTGTGTTACTGCATGTCACGTCTCGAGGAGGGTGGTAACAGGGCCTGATGCTGCGGGAGGGAAGAGGACCTCAGACGTGACAGCATTGCCACTGATCACAGGAACAAGCAATGGGGGCAAGAGCTCCCCGCTCAGCCCCAGACCATGCAAATAGCATGACTGTAACGGGCCCCAAGAGAGGCTTCAGAGCTGGAAGGGAAATTCTCAGAAAAGATGGAAAAAAAGCAAATCGGGCAATTCGACAGCAGTAATTCCCCACCAGCACACAGCAGAGGAGAAAACATCTGTGCTGGAGAGGAGCTACCACACTAAGGCAACACAGCAGGTAAAAAGGCTGCAGTTCTTTCCTGCACAAGAAAAAGCCAGAAAACCTAAAGCACGGGCTGGCAGGTCAGCCAGAAATATAAGCCTTTAGGGGCAGCCCAGGGCAAAGCCTCTGAGTGCTCCCAGGTTCTTCCTCAGCAGTTTTTAAGCTCTAGCTGCAGATCTTAACTCCCATCTTCTCCCAATTACTGCTGTTGCTTCTGGGAAGGGTTGGTGATTAACAAGTTCCTCAGCATTCAGCTACCCCGTAGGCCCTTCGGGAGAAGAGACCTGTAGGACTTGCTGTTTCTCAAGGTTTTAATTCAAGAATTGGGATAAAAAAGATTCCAGACACACAGACTGGATCTTTGCAGCCACCATTTCCAGCTGGTTGTATCTGATCACACCTTGCATAGCAGCAGGACAGTAGCTCCTTGCCCTGCACAAGCTGTATCCAATCTCCGGTAACTGGTAAAGGGGCCTGCTTTTTGCATCCACATTTTCCTGTTACAGCAGCCACTTGGAAGCAAGCTGCTGGTCTGCCTTTGGAGGAGCTGAAATACACCAGTCTGGATATGGTACAGGACAGATGGACAGAGGAGGGCAGGAAGGAGATGACAGGAAAACTCATCTTCCAGACTTAGACCAGCAATGCCCAACCCCTGACACTGGTGCCAAATTTGTCATTCACAAAGATTTGGGTGGGCACCAAAGACAATACTTAAAAAAATACATTTAGCTCCTAAGAGCAAAAAAAGTTCTCCTGCCCTGAGGAGCTTCAACTTTTGCAGCCTTATTGGACAGAAGAAACAGAGGACACATAGTGCATCGCAGAGATGACACAGAAACAACTCCAAACCAGCCCAGTACTTGCACAAAGAGCCATCTTTACTGTGGCCTCACTACCTGGCACCAGGCTGCAGCTCTCTTGTAACACTGCCATACTCACAGGCAAAATACTGCCAGGGCTCATAGGTGAGGCCAAAGTCAGTCGATCGCTCCAGCACCCAGAGGTCAGGACGAGGGGAATTGGCGAATTTGATCAGGACGTATGCCACATGGAAGAGCTGAAAGAAAGGAACACAGAGTTAGTTGGCTGCTTGAGGCATCATGAAAACCAGGGAGAGCTTAGTGGGATCCAAGCCAAACGCTCTGCAGATCCTGCTGCTCACAAGCAGCCTGGGGAGTAAAATCCTCCGTATCTAAAAGGATCGTGATACAGCACGGCTGCTGGAGAGAGCCAGATTAGGGAGCTCAGCTCCCACCAGCCCAACGCAAACAAAACACAGACTTTGTGGCTACAGCCCTACTCGGGAGGTTGTACTGGGACACCTTAGACTTAAACTCTTTGCAAGCAGGCGGCCCTACAAACCAGTGCCACTGCCTTGCCCAAACCCTTCCGAGGGAACCTCATCCTGGCTCAGCAAGGCAAAGGTTGGCTCCCATCACCAAGCTCTGCAGGGTGATAATAAAAAGCTGCTAAGTGTTACGAAGCTGTTCTGGGGGACCTGGCTTTTGGGCTGTCCTTGGGGTAACAGGTGACACCCCAGACTGTTATACACATGCCAGTCTGGGAACAGCCAACTGCACCTTGCACACGATATCACAAAAATCCTTTTTTGGTTTTTTTTTCCAAAGGCTCTCTACATGGCAGTCCTGCTTCACCCACTTGTGTTTTTAAGTTGGTTGCAGAAAAGCCCCAGCACAGCAACTTTTTTTTCAGGTGGCACAGGGAGGGAAGAGCAGGAGACCCACTTGGCTTCAGCACAGCTCTAAGGCTGGGCTGCTCCCATTTGTCTGGACACCGACGCGTGCACACACACCCTTGCCAAGAATAAAATAAACGTACTCAGAGCTAAAATGTCAGTGCTAGAGAGAAACAAAAGCCCCAGCAGAATTTCCCTTCCCCGGCTGGCACAGGCTCGCTCCAAGAATCCCCACTCCATCAACCTGTCACAAAGTGATATTTAAGGCAAATAAGTTCTCTTATCAGAGAAAATTCCTAATGTCAAAAACAACCCAAAAGGGAGTTCAGTGCTTAAAAAGCAGAGATTTATAGCTCAGGAGTCCCTCCTCATACAAAGTTGGTGCTGTACAAGCATACATCCCCCAAAGACTAACAGGTACCCAGAGGGACGCTCCTAGAAGGGGAGGAAAAGGACGGCTCTGTGCTCATCTCAGCCCACTCACCCCAGCCATAACCAGTGTGGGAGGGCCAGAACAGCAGCCTGCACCTCAGCCCTGCCCCAGCCACACACATCGTTGAGCCAGAGGGCAAGTATTAATAACAACGTGCCTTCAAAATAGCCCTGACAACCAACAGGAGACTTTTTAAAAGAAGAGACAAGGAAGAAGTATTTAAACCTACCAAGTCATCCATAAAGTACGCGTCTTGCTATGGTCATTCAGATGGACAAGGGGGTCTGAGTGCTGTTGTGCAGGTATGGAGCAAGAGGATGGGTGCAGCCCTGCAGATTGGCACCGGCTCAGTCTCCACCTCAGCAGGTGGAGACAAACCCTCCTCAGACTCCTGCCGGACACTCCTCTGGCTCCAGGACAGCTTCTCCTCCGCTTATCAGGGAATGCTCCGGTTCCCACCGCAGGCTGGTGGCACCTGAACTTATGCCTGGGTACAGGCTAAGGGGGCTCAAGAGAGACACCTGGGGACGAGCGAACTAGATCCATGTGGAAAATCTGCGTGATGCTGCAGCACCGCAGGTCAGAGGCCAGTCTCCAGCTGTGAGTGGGCAGGAGGGTGAGATTTGTCACCACTCTCAGGGTTTGCGCTGCTAAGGACACATGCTACCCAGGATGAAGAAATCAAAATGGTCACCTAACAGTTCCCTGCTGCCAAAAGACTGGCAAGCCCAATCAAGGGCAAAACAGACATCCTTCCCAAGTTGCTAAAAACTGAGGAAAACCAGACCTAAATGCTGCCTTCAATCCCCTCTGCAACCTATATGTTGTCAAGTCATATGAGACTAAGCTTTTTTGGAGAAGCAGCGTTTTCTGCCTGCTTAGTCTCTCAACGGAGCTGCTATTTGTTAGTGTAGCCCAAGAGGCTTCAGCTCAGGCAGCTGCTTTGTCTGCAGGACCAGTTCTCACAGCTTAACATCTGCCTCTTGGCATGAGAACAAGGCTGAGCACCAGCCAGTGGAGTTACACCTTCCCTCCGCTGTAAATCCTCCTCCAGCTTTATTCTACAGAGAACAAATTAGTGCTCCTGCTGGAACCTGGCATAGCCTTTAGCTGGACAAAATTCACTGTGGCTCCAGCGTACCTGCACATCTTCTGGTCTCAGGCACTGGCAGAGCCTCTCCTCTGAACGAACAGCAATCACAAACATAAAACTAGAAATGTGAGGGATATCCCTATCTTCTGCATTTATCTTTTTGCAAAGCCAGCTATGGATTTATAGTCAGTAGATCCCATGGAGTTTCTAAGGTGTCATCCTCGCTGTCCAGTTTCATACTGGAAAGAAATGTTCCTAATTAAACCTCCTTGAGTTCAAACTCCTTGCCTGCTTCGAGCTCTCAGAAGTCCCCCGCCTCTGGAGAGCGTGGGTTACGATCCAGCCAAATCAGTGCATGGTGAGAGTCAAGTTTTTGCACAAACACTGAAACTCGACACAAACCCAAGCCTAGGGCTCAGTGCTTTATAAAGAGAAAACAAAAGCCAAAAAAAGAACTAGTGCTGCTGGTTGCAAGCCCTGGCGTAAGCACTCCTGGGACAGGGGAGTGGCAGGGTTGGGCAGGGCACAGGCTCATCACCCGTAGGAGCCCTCTCTAGCTGAAAGAAGATGATGTAGCTGGTTTCAGTACGTTTTAAGTCATGGGAGATGTGGATTTGTACATGTACACACGCCGGGCACTGGGAAGAACTGTGTCTGTGCTTGCTGAGAGGTCTCTGAAAGGCCAGTGCCAGGGTTATACATCCAAAACTTTTTATCTTTTATTGCAGCTTGTCACAGGGAAGAACAAGGACCTCTGGGTTCTTGCTGAATCAGTTGCAGTATCTCAGCCGAAGCCCAGTTTGGATATTCCTATCCAGCTCGCGCTCTCAAAGCCAAACACGATTCCTCTGCTCCATACCCAAACCCATCATTAGCACTGCTGCGCACTGTCAGACTGCTGCTCAACTTTATTCCAGTTGTGACCTCGACTTTGGGACACAAAGAAGCCAGCCAACATTGCACACTCACTCCCCTCCAGCACATAAGGGTCAGGGTCATTCCTACATGGAGCACAGAAAACATTCAGGAGCCTGTGCCCGCAGTGAATCAGCCCTAGAACAAGACACGCATCCTGGTATTCAGAGGGATTTTTGTCAAATCTAGTGAGTACCCTGCCTCTCCATCCAACATCCTTATCTTGCAGAACATCGTAGCCTGCCGGAAAAAATAAAGGCAGATTGCCTGCTTCAAGTGCATATGCTGAGAAAACTCAGAGAGATACAAAGACAGAGCAGTAGCTCTTAAAATAGAGTTGGCAGAAAAGTCAGACTTTTCATTCCATGTTTAGTTCCAGCACAGTTCTGCCCAACCAATATTGCAAGAGAAATGGTCGGGTTTTTTTCTAAAGCCTTTATTTAGCTCCTATTATCAGTCAGATGAATAAAAACCTCTATGCTTTCAGCCTCTTAGGCAATTTTCTTTTTCCCTTCTCCATGGAGGAAGGAGGTGAAGCACTAGATGTGGTGCACACACTTGTCTCCAAGCATGCAGACTCCTTGCTCTCACCACCTCTGAAAGGACGCCAGGTACAACTCAACCCCCGACCATCGCCTGGGACTTCATGAAAAGAGTTTCCAGCCAGGAAATTCTGACAGGAGTATTTTAATTAGCAACCAACCTTCTTTGAAAATAGTAACATCCCTATATCTAGCTGATGTTGCTGTTACTGGTTTTGAAGTGTGTTTCCTTAGTAACAATCACTTGTGGCTGCCCCAGTGCCTGGAAGGATGGAGCAAGTCCCAGAGCTAGGAGAGGGACAGGGAGATGGGACCACTTCCTCCATCTCCCATCCACTCCATCCCTTTGCATGCTTGGATGGTGGGCAGCTGTAGCCAGCACCAAAATCCCATGAAATTATAATTCTGATTACTGCCCACTGTGACACCGCAAAGACTTGAAAAGTAAAACCAGGACTCAGAGAGGCAAGAGAAACTCAGCTGCTTTTGGAGCAGCACATTCTCTGTGCATCAGCCCGTTTATCCTCCTGTATAAGCAGCACACAATGGCAAACTAGTGTGTTTCTCCTCTATTCCCTCCATCAAGACATCGATTTCAGTTTTCCAGCTCTGGGAGACACATGTGGAAACAAGACAGCAAGCTGGACCCAGCTACATCCCATGTTTTTTAGGTGAAGTTTCACTGATGTTCCTCCAAGGTGCCACAAAGCCATACAGTAACATTTAATAAGCAAAATAAATCTTCACATTGTTGTAATATTATCAAAATACATTTTGACAAACAGCAAGAGAGGCTCTTTTTTGGTCCTCTGACAAAAAGGTACGAGCAGGCTACGCTGGCCGGGAGCTATGTGCAGCTCTACTCCCAGCCCGGAGTGCACAGGAGTAGTTTAGAAGGTAAATCACTCCCTAATTTTCTGTAGGACAGATTTATTACCTTTGGCATTGCCTTATTAAAAGAGCACCATACAAAACCAAAGCAGTTCGTCCCTTCCTAAATATCACCGTGGAGTGTGCGTGTGGACAGCATTACCAGCGCTGCCATATTCTTGCTTAGGATTTCCTGGAAGGATTGGATGGACCAGGTGAGCAGGTGCAGCTCAACAGCACAGCACACAGGCTATAAATCCCACTTCTTTTTAGGGGCACATGAGGCCTCCTGGACACACACAGCATGGCTGGGAGCCGTGGCCAGCCCAAAGGGCTTCAGCACACACACAGCGGGCACCTGCAGCATGTTGAGGCATACTGCACCCCAGTCTGGGTCACTGCAGTGCAGCTCCAGACATCCCCAAAACCTAGACTGAAGCAGGGAAAGTGGAAAAAACTCAGATGAACCATTTCAGAACCACTGCAGAAAGTAATTTTTAATTTTCCC